ATTTTTTCTGTACCTATTAGTGGCGGAGGGGAGGGAGGGATATTCGAACATTCGGGTTATATAATCTCGATATTTTCACCTGTTGGGGTGGACGTCACAATAAACAGTTCAATATTTTTGTATGCCACCTTTTTTCTCGATTTTGTGATTAAAATTAAAATTATCTTACGATTCAAGTGAAAAGTGAATCAGTGTTTATGAGTTTTTATTACATCATTGATTCGACAGAGTTTACCGATTTCCAGATTGAAAACGCCCCAACTCATTTTCGTAAATAAAAACTTGTAGGTTACGATAAAATGAAGCCACTCACGAAGTTTTAGACGAGTGTTATTAATTTGATAAAAAGTGGCCTATAAGTAGAATAGTATTAAAGGACTCCGTAGGTTGTTATTGGCTTGAGAGATGGGCGGATGTTTGATAGTTTTTAATTGTCAATCTTCATGATCATGAAAAGCTCACTTGATACGGTCAGATAATACCGAAAGAACGGTGAAATGACTGTAAAAGAACTATAAGGATAGGAGGCAGAGTGATAAATGTTTCTATTAGATAAACAAACGAGTACAAAAGTGGAAGGAAGACACTGGGCGAGGAGTTGAGTTGAAGAAGAGATAAAGAGCCGCTGTCATAAGAGGAACATATTTCACCTGAGTGAGCGGACCCACCTGCTCCTTAATGAGCGGCTAGTTAATGAGATTGATGGCTCCCTCCGTCTCATTGTTTGATCTCCATCCGCCTCTACAATAAATATCTATTAACCGGGGCCATATCCCACGTAATTGGACCGCGCCGTCCTATAATACTTCAGCCTCCCTTCAATGAAAGAAAAGAAAAGACACCGAAGAGTCTATAGTGTTTTATTATTTTTCCAATGAATTTTCTAACTATATACCGAAGTAAACAAAAGGAGGTACGAGTTCCCTTTAGCTAGACCAACATGGCGCCCGGTTTCGATATCACCTATAGCACGTTTTAACTAGATTCCCGGCGAATGCCAAAAGTAACCGATTATTGACGATCCTGTTTACTTCCTACAAAGCTGGCTTGTTTTACACGAGTTGGTTAGATTATGTTGGGTGTATTGTCAGTTTATTACATAAAAGTCATTAAGTACATTTTTCATAGAGCTAAATTTCTAAGTACTCTTTTTATTAGGTAATTTTAAACTGTTTTATATGTTCATAGTAGATCAGGATTTTTTATCATTGACGATTTCTATAATATTAGAAAAATAAAAAAGAGGTAAGGCATGATGTGACGATAATTACATGACAATTAAAAATTTTGTAATACATGAATTGTTGAAGAAAGTTAAATCTGTTCTACGTATCAAATCCGATAGTCAACAGTCATTGTGAATGTTTTTACTTTCCTACCTATACTGGATAAAGAAAGTATTGCAATTGGGTCAAATTTCCGATATGACGTTTTCGACGGGTCTATACGTTTCAGAGGCCCTTGAGTCCGAAAAAAACATTTTTAGCCATTGGTCTGTCTGTCTGTGCCAAGATTTTCTCGGGAACCACCGAACCGATTTTGTTGCTTCTTTTTTTATTTCGTAGGGTTTCGACTACTAATGCCTGTGACAGAAATTTGGAGCTCCATGCGCAATAGCTTGCGCGCAATAAATGAAAAACATGTTTTTCTATAGACTGTAGCGCGAAAACGGCTCTAACGATTTTAATGAAACTTTCCTATAATGTTTTAATAATTGTCCTTTCAATTTTCGTATAGAGACTAAATTCCCGAGAAAATTCAGAAAAAAAAGTTATAAAGGAAAGAAAAATGTTATGGGGCCTAACTCCCTAAGTATATATTATATGGTAACATTTTTAATAAAACTTTTGAAAGGTAATTAAATTATCAACAAAACAAAAGAAAAACCGTTCATTTTAGACAGTTATTAACGAAGTTATAGAAATTCAATTTCCAATGTACGATCACATGTTCATATTCTGGTGTCAGAAAGGGGTGAATGAGAGAAAAAATATGACTAAGTGAAAGTAAGGATATCTGTTGCCCGCATCACACAAGCTTCACTATTTCCCATACTTTTAACAGAAGTTATTGTTTGACAATACTAAGCTATGACAAAAAGTTTTTGATCAGCAATATTAGAGAGTATTGAAATGTTTACACTGATCTACCTTAAGCCGGTTTACATTGCTTTAGTTAATCAAATAAATCTTTTCTTTGATCAATTTTCAGGAAAATAAATCTAGTTCAATTTTTTTTTTGTTTCTTCATGAACATATGTAAAGGTATAAAAACTATTCTGAAATAGGTAGGAAAGTCGTGTGAGTGGACACGCCAGATGTTTTTATTTGTGCCAACATTTCAACCCAAGCATGTGGATCAATCATCAGGGCATGTTTCGAGCACTGAAGTTATTCAAGTACTCCAGTGAGAACTTGACTTTGAGTATTTGAATAACTTCAGTGCTCGAAACATACTCTGATGATGACCCAGATGCTTGGGTTGAAACGTTGGCCCAAATAAAAAATATTCACAATGACTGCGTCCTCTCTATTTATCATCCCTAACACATGAATTTTTAATGTCATTAATTAATTTATTAACTTATTAATGTATCCAATATGTTGTGTTATAATTATAGAGATGAATATGGTGCACGGACACCGAAAGCTACTCTGCAAATAAAGTTGTAAACATATTATAGTCAATGGTAAAAAAGTCCTGAAGTGCTTTTTTTATGAATTTCAACCTTATTTATCGATACGAAAACTCAGTAATTATATCAAAATAACACAAATCCCTCTATGAATCAAATATAGTTTCTCCAAGTGCAGAATGTTCTGATTTTACAAGGTAACAAATCATCAAAGTAATTAATGATTTGAAAAGTTACATAATAAATCTCTTTAAAAGTTACTTTTTGCAATAAATCCAGGATATTCCCCTTCTTGATAATATGATAAAATACATAATGAGGAAATATCTTCTGCAAAAATATAAGTTAGTATAGCTCGCACGAAATGCTAAAATATGTAATTAAAATTAAATTGAAATTTTCACCATCTCCCCTTCCCAACTGATAGATACGGAAAAAATATGTAGAATAAAATGCATATAGAAAAAATACTTAATTAAGACTTCTGTTATTAACTACTAAATTCTGTTCATAAGTCCTAAGGGAGGTGTTTATTTATATAAGGTTTATGAATAAAGTTATGCAACAGTTCACTCACAACATTTTTTTTTTTAAGAAAAATATTTTGGGAGAGTAAACTGTTACTTTAACATTTTATGTCAATAAAATAAGCCAATTGAAATTCCTCCAGATTGTAGTTTACAATTATATTGTAGTTTACGATAAAATTGAAGCCATTACTTCATTTCAGGATCTATGGAAAGTTTGCCCAAACATTTGAGTGCAATTATTCAGACGGTTTGGGAGAGTTTAGCGGAAAAAAAACATAAGTCCATACCTTTTTATTAACAGTTACTTTACGTACATAAAAATGTGTACATGTATGTTACACATATAAGTTTGTATAGTTAAGAAAAAACTCTATAGAATACTAAGCAATAATCAACACGGAACATGTCCAACCCTAGTCAGTTAAATTATCATATTTTTCCAATGCGAATATAAATATAAACATTTAAAATATATTTTATGAATCTACTGCACTTAATTCTATTTTATTTACCGAAAGTCCGTGATGGAGGCTAATCCTGGAGAAGGATATTTCTACAGCGATTTCTTCATCGTTATAGGAGTATTAAGGAAGTGGTTAGCATTGACGTCAACTTTTTGCGGCAAAAATTAACTGCACCGCAAATCAACGTGGGCGCGCGCCTCTTTGAGGCACCCACAGTCTTTGATTTGCCTTTAAATGTTGTTGTTTTTTCCTCTGTCAGGGCAGAACTGTAATATTGTCATGACTAAGGCCTGCCTGCTTCCACAATGAAAGTTACCGCGACAGTTGCAGCAATGGTAACTTTCATCGTGGAAACTCTAGAACTGTGTATCAGATCTCTTGGTAGGACTATAGTCGCTTATACTAACTCGTGTAGATGACTGATAATGAATGGGTAATCAAAATAAAGATCATGAGGACACTTTTAGCGGGAACTACCAGTGTTTCTAGCATAGGAAACAATAAAGACCCTTTTATAAGACTGCGGAAAAATTCAAACCTTCACAAAAGTTCCACTAATATCATACGCAATGGAGATCGTTTAAGCTACTCAAATCGAAGAAGTAGTAGAACATCTTCCAGAAAATATTCATGAAATGATTGAATGAAGAAGTGGAAGATTATTAATGTAGTGCCTCAGCAGCTACCTTAGAGTCAGTGGGCTTTTTGTTTTTGACAGTGTGAAATATCGTCTGTCATGGGGCCTTTATCTCATCTCCTTCCTTCCTTTAGTTCTGGGGAGCAGGTGTGGTCAGCCATACCCTATCTCTCTGCTGTAGCTGATAACCACTAGTGTGAAAACTAAAAAGGGGAGCGAACACTACTTATCTAGTGTTTTCCTAAAACCCGATTTTAATGGGTAGCTAGTTCTAACTAAAATATAATCTCATGAACAATATTTTTAAAAGAACGACCAAGGCGGGCTTGAAATGTTTAGTTCTCTTTTTAATATTTTTATGAAAACTTAATATTTTAATGCTATGTTTAAGATTTTCACTAAAAAGTTTTAAATTATAATTATCATTCCTGAAATTTTGAACAGGATTTTTTTTTTTTTCAAAATTTAAATGCAGAATTTATTGGTGTGCTGTCCGCTCATCCAAAGCAGCGAAAGGTCGCAATATTTCCTTTAATCAAATTCGTTTACTTTAGTAATGATAGCATATATATAAAAAGTGCAATCCGGTGACAACAGAATTTTCCGACATGTTCCAATCGAAATAGAATTTTTATGACTCTACAAGTAAAATTTACTTTCTCGCCACTGCTCATTTCTTCAGATAACTTGTCTCCTTTTATTGCTCAGATACTCTCATAATAATGTGATCGTAGGTTGTAAGGTGAACGGCCAGGAGGTGAGCTCGGGAAGGACAGTGCGGAGCTTGGACGACCCTTGCCTCAAGTGCAGCTGCAGCGAGGGGAGGTTCTACTGCTCCAAGAGGGCTTGCCCTGTCCTCAACTGCGCCAACAAGGCTGTCATGCCACCCAGGCCAGGAGAATGCTGTCCCTATTGTAACGGTAAGTGGAAAATATTAATTTGTTAAGTATTTACCTGATAATGAATATGTTAGGCTAATTAGCTTTAAGTTCATATTTCAGTTTTCAATCTTTCATCAAGTAATTTTCACTCCTTTAGTTACTAACTATTTCATAGTACCTTTATCGATTAGTATATTTTCCAAAAAATACAAAGATAAAACACTACGATGTTGTATCGTTATCAGGTACCCGAGAGCTGTATCCTCCACCACAAGGAAGGTGTCTCCTAGGCGCTGACCTGAGGCTGTCAGGAGAAGACTTCCACCAGGACCCCTGCACCCTCTGCAAGTGTGACAACGGAACCTCCATCTGCAAGAGACCTTCCTGCGCTCCCTTGGATTGCCCTCCAGAAATGCAAGAACTACAAAAGGGACACTGCTGTCCGCGCTGCCCTCAGCGGCCGCCGTTCCCTGTTGCCCCAACGGTCTGCCACGATGGTGGAAAGGTTTATAAGGTAAAGTGTACTTTATTCAGCAAAACTAGTTACATTCTGTCCTTTTTATGTACATTATATTCAAAGGAACCAATGATAACCAAATTAGATTTTGCATTGCAATTCTAAATATCTCATTACACCACTCAATAGAAAAAGGATCAAAGAGTTTTGAACTGGGGACTGCTATGCATAGCGCAAATATACCGCAACGTATTGCTCGCTCATATAATTTCAAAACTTTCGCGTTCTACAACTTTTGATACGAAAAATATATGACATTATTTTATGTTTTACTCTAAATTCGCGAAACAATCTATCAATCGCATGTGTAAAAACATTAATTAATGAGTAAAAGAACATTGATAGATGTTATAAAGAGCAGTTCATGAAGAATCCAACGATGAAAGTCCAAATGATCGATCATGGTATTTCAGTGAAGCATTAAAGTCGAGACTTTCTATCGCGTCAGCGATGGCTAGACTACCTATAAGCTCGTCTATGTTAAGTGAACGATGAAATCGCTTCTGTATCGATGACTGAGTTTATAGACATCGATTGTGTGTGATCAGTGATCACGATGACTATTTGTTTCCCTCTTCCATGTTTAGTCAGTTTGGTTATCAACAAAGCTTGGTAATTCCTGAATCAATTAACATACTCGATCTATGTGATTTACCATTTACTTTTTCATATCATAGATCTATCACTAATAAAATTACAATTGAGTACTGATGTGTTTATTTTTTTCCCTGATCCAGGCGATTAGAAATTTTCATATGACAATATATAAGTAGTATATAAATCTTAGTTTTTCTTAAAATGGTTAAACTATGATATACTCTCTAATTTACAAAAAATATCAATACAATTATTGATGTGTCCACGTGAAACACACGGCTGTTTCCCTGACAGCCGGCGTCACTTTTTTATTATAGCTATCAAGAGGATGATGTTTATCAGAAACGTGTATATCAAATCTAATGTGAATAACAGTTTATTGTATAGAAAGCACACTGTCTTACGAAACCGATATTGTTAAATTGAAAAACAGACATTTTTGGTTGACTCCTTGCCGACACATTGTCAAAAACTATACTTGTTCTGTTTAAATCTAATCATTGAATTTGATTGGTTGGTTTCAAGATAATCAAGGATTGCACAATTAATGTTTTTCGATTCACTGAATCGGGTCACTCCCTTGATAATAGATTGAGGAAATAAACAATTGATTGGGACATAACAGTGATGGACAACATCTTGAAGTATTAAACAGTATTTCGCATTGATCCTTTCAGTCGAACTTACTAATCTCAGTAACTTTGTTGGATTAACCAAGACATCCAACTAAATATTCAATGATGGTCGACCTGCAATGAGACTTTACAATCTCACTTTCTGAACATTAATATTCTGGATTGTTGATAAACTTTAAAACGTTAATGAGTCAAGCTTCGACTGATTAATATACAAGTACATCAAATGAAATACAATAAGTATTATATAATCGATATAAATGTTCGAAAACAAGTTACGAAAATATGCGGGTTTTATTTTCTCATGGAATAGAAGTTTGGTAGTTGATTATAAATTTTTGACTAATTCATGTATAGCATGTATAAGGACATTTTTTTTTAAATCTAAAGTTCTGTAAATCTCAAGTCCTGTAAAACGGGGCTATCTTCACACTAGTTTATTAGAATTTAACTCTTCATTCAATTATTTCACTTGCTATTAATGTACTCTACGAAGAGTACATTAATGACGTGCTAGACATACTGTGGGCGCGACTTTAAAGTTATTTAAAAAAAATTAAATCCTTTAATCCAACTTTGCTATGTTTAAAAATAAGAAAAGTTGTGTTCAAGCAGGAAGAGCAGGGTTAGGAGAGAGGCACTTAAAAAGGTCAAGTTTTATTTTCATAGAAAACTTCTAAGTTAGTTTAAAAGTCCTGTTGTTATCGGCTTCTTGAGCCTATTTTATCGGTTCATTTCCAGCTGATGATACTCAAAAAGTTTCTTATAAATCAGGCTAACTTTTTCCATCTCTTGCTTGAAAATTAATGCAGACGTTGAGATTCTCAAAAATTTGACCGTGTATTAATCTAATATTTTTTTGATTTATAAAATTAATTGGAAGGCTTGTAAGGGGCGTAGGACTTCCAATCAAGATTAAATAAGTCATCCAAATGTATTTAAATATTACTGCCAGCTTTGGAACAAGATTTAGGTATTGTTAAACATGAAGAATTTTAAAACTTTATTACGATAATTATCTTCATGGGTGATAAATATTCAGGACGCAGTCTTTTTTTAAAAAAAATTTATTTTTGCCAACATTTCAACCCAAACATGTGGGTCATCTTTAGGACATGAACAACCTCAGTGCTCAAACCACGCCCTGAAGATGATCCACATGTTTGGGTTGAAACGTTGGCAAAAATAAAAAAAAATTTAAAAAAGACTGCATCCTGAATATTTATCACCCATGATATGTAGAACAGTCGACTAACATCCTTCAAGATAATTATCTTCTGGTATTCCAATTCGAAATCATTTTTAATTATTCAACTAAATAAAATATCAAAATAATGCACCTGCCGTGGCCCATTTATTCGAGCTCGGTCAGAAAAAAACTATTCTTTATAAATAATCATCATCATCATAAAATTGTTTTATGAGAAAATCATTTTAGCAAATCATTTCCGAATCTTAAAAACAAAAATATAATTCGTTGATCATTACCTTAATCAAGCAATAGTAAATTATGCCAATAAGAAGTATCAATTTACTTGTATCCACTCTTATTCAATGTAGCGGAATATTTGAACTCAAAGTTAAGGAATTCTATAGCAGGATGAAATAAAAAAGTTAGAAGCACTTAATATAACCGTTGTTAGAGACCAGGAAAACAAAACAAACCTAACATTCCGAGAAAGCTAATCAAGCCTGGGATATGCTATCAATGAGTGGACAGTGTAATGAGTTCTCTGCATACAATGCACTCAGCCGGCTCTAATTAGTGGCGGAGGGTCCCTGGCGGGCCAATGCCTTCCAGGGTCCTCAAGGTCTTTGGCGCGGAAGGGAATACTGGCTACATTGAAGAGAAAATATGATGATTGTTCCGGTTCAGATTCTCTAAGAACAAAACCGATGGGCATAAATGAAAGCTTATAATCTAACTGACGTTCAATCTTATGTTTAATAAGTAGCCTATATAGATCACATTTTATATTACATCAAAGATTTAAGATTAAACAGAGAAAAATAGTTGATGTTTGATGGAAGATATGAAAGAGGCCTGACGGATAGAGATATACAAAGAATTCGATAAGGAGAAACTACAAACAATATTAGATTGTGTTTCTGAAATGTCTCAAAAGTAACTACACTTCTTAGAGCCTACTCTAGGAAAAACGAAATTATATTGTTTAATTCTCATCAGTAAAATGTTTTTGGTCTTACGTCTTACAAATAATCGAATTCAAACTCATTCTAAACTAAACCAATCTTGAAATAACTTTTATTTAGACAAGAAATTGCTTTGTATATTTTCACATCCAGCAGAATCATAAGACTAATTGGCCATTGCGAATAATTCGCATTGGTTAGTGAACAAGTGACAACACAGTATGGAAGTAAGTAAAAGCTTTATAATACAAGAATTTATTTATAATTATTGATACTAGACATTAAATAATTGACCTTATTAATAATCAGGAGGAGATTGCCCTGTCATGTCTCAAGATTAACACCAAAAATGGAGGGAAAAGATAATGATGCCGAAGTTACGACCCACATTTCTAGCCTTCTTCAAGCTGGTGAAGATCAAAATGCATTGGTGAAGATAATTGGAGTGAAAATGTATACATTTTACTGAAAATAAATTATATCGATACAAAAATAACATCTGAATGATATAAATTACATATTAAAAATATAATAACTCAAAATAGAGCAAAAGAAAAATAAAATTATTACAAGTGAATCGACAGTTTCCAAAGAGCCCCAAGCCTCCATATAAATTAAACACAAGTTAACGATATTAAAATGGAACAACTCATTTGAGTACTATAATGAAAATCGTACCATTAAATATTTCTCAGTTCCCAAATTAGTTGATTCCACGTCATTCCAAAAAAAGAAAAATTGATGCGGTGCACCACACCAATCATTCTACTTCTAGTAGATTTTTAAAAGTAAATAAACCTTAATAACATTATCTTAGATGATAAATAATAAGAATTTTCAGTTATGATATGTTTATTATTGTTGCCGTCGTTTCGATTCATGCAAGTGGATCTTCATGAAAGTTATGTAAACTGATCTTAGTGAAAAAGCCTTTCAAACATCTCAGGCATATACCTACCTTCCTAAAATACGTAATTTCATATAAATCAATCATATAAGTCAGACATACAAACACAGACTACTTTGGGGTTATTTGGACTAAGAGGGTCTCAAAATGTGTATATCTGTTGAAAACTCGGATTTGAAATTTTTCACAATCGTAATACTTTCCATTATAGCACGTTTTATTTATATATAAGTTGAACGAATAATTTCAATTCTCACTTAAAATTAAATATATTGGCTTACGACTTCTCGGTCTTAATCAGTACTTACAAGCTTACGGAAGACACTTTTCACTACAAAGTATAAACTATCGCCTTAGGCAGAAAATATTAGATAAGACTACAATTTTTTTTTTTTATCATCTGATATTAAAGTAATCCTTTTAATCAATGAAAATCTTTGAGCGCACGATATAATTGTGGGAAATTATTTTGTAATTATAACAAACGTTTTGATTCAGGCTAACCGAATGAGTCTAATGTTAATTATTACTGAAAGCTCTATCGAAATTAGATCTCTTTTAGTTAATGGGATTAACCAAGTATGCTGATCTAGGTGGTGGCAGTCTGTTTTGAGAAGATAAGAACAAATAAGACAGATCGAAAATCGATTGTAACTTTCCAGATAATTTATTATTTATTGACTTTAGATGATTTCATCTGAGTGAATACTAAAACGATTGATTGGTGATAATCATACCGATAACAATTTTTTTTCCCATAACTAATTAAAGCAATAGAAACAAAATTGATTTTAGGTGCTTATAGTCTAAAAAAGTGTATTTAAAAAAAAAAAAAGTTGTCTTTTCTCTTCAAAAACTAGATAGACTGTTTTATTGATGCCATGTGGAGTTCCCGAGAATATTTTCGGTTGGCTGAATAGACGTTTTTCAATGTTTTTATTGAATACTTCAATTTAAAATTTAAAAAAAAATAAATAGATTTAGCCGACGTTGCGAGTTTTCCCTTACTCATCCCACTGTTCGCCGGCCGATCCTTAGGGGGGCTCGCTACTTATTAGAAATTAAAAAAAAAATACAAAACGTATTAAACGAATTAATTTTAGCCCATCGATAAAGCAACTGTATTAGAGAAATATTTAATGCAATAAAATTCAAATATTACATAATCTAAAACAGCTTAAAAATATTTTTTTAGGGGAAGGGACATCATTGTCGGGGGCGCCAAATGTGTAAGTCTGGCACTGTATGGAATACATTAGAATCTATCAGACACGAACTTTGCGATTTTATATAATTGTACTTCTTTTTATGTTTTTTTGCAGACCTCATGGCTTATTTAATACATGTTTTTTATTTATGATTAAAATAAACGGTCCTGCTTAACTTATTTTTTGTGTACCATGTTACAATTTCATTCTGTGAATGAAGTATTTAACACAGTGAAGTGAAGTATTTAATTTTATCATAGTTTAATTTAACCATATTACAGATAAAAGGGAAAACATTTTTACTTTAATTTGTAAAATTGAAAAAATTGCAAAATTTATTTTAAGTTTAGACTGGAAATGAAATGGCTGATATAGGAGCAAAAGAAGCTCTTACCCTTCCAGGCTGCAATAAGGCTTTTTTGACAACATCTGAACTCACACGACCTCTAAGAGAAACCATGTCCCAAGAATGGCAGAGACCGTGGGACAACAGTGCAACTATCAAATTAAAGACAATAAAGAAAGAGCTGCGACTGTGGAACAGCTCCAAACGCAGCAGTCGTAGAGAAGCAGTCGTCCTTACGCAGCTGAGAATCGGACATACCAGACTGACACCTTCACCTCATGAATACAGATCTCATCCCCAGAAGTCAAAAGTGTGACCATACAGTAACTATAAATCATGTTTTGGAAGAATGACCTATTTACATTGCAAGGTTAAAAGATCTTGGAATACCCCAAAATATATCAGCATCCCTGGGAAATCAGGAAGAAATCATTACTAAAATTATGAAGTTCCTACACAATAAAAGTCTTATAAAACATATATAAATATATCCATAATCATATATAAATAAAATATATATCTTATAAAACGAATTACAAGTTTATAACTAATGATCCTTCGCATATTTTTTTTTGTTTTTTACTTTCATTTATCTATTAATTTCAATTCATTTATTGAATTTATTTTTATTTTAAGTTTACTTATTTATTTATTTTATCATAGTATCTTTAAATGTTTATAATTATCTTTATTTGTTTATTTTATTCTATTAATTTTTTTATCCTTCCTTTATTTATTTATTTCTATTTTTTATACCAACCACCTAAACCTACCTATAAAAGTAGTGTTATTTAGTTGAACAGGAACTGATGACCTGGATTTTTTGCGCCTAGACATCAAAATAAACAAAACAAGTTTGCACTCATTTTGAAATCCAATAGAATTTTTTAAAATTAAATTTGCAATTTTGCTAATTATTAATTTCTAACTTTTTCCTTCTTGTTACAGGATGGAGAGAGTTGGGAAGTGGATCAGTGTAAGTCATGTTCCTGCAAAAGTGGTCAAGTAAAGTGTGTAGCAGAGCTGTGCAATGAAAGTAACAAACCATGTCCCCCAAATCACAAGTTAGTCACCGTTCCCGGCCAGTGCTGTTCTAAATGTGTAGAAAGTAAGTAATATATAATTATTCTGTTCTTAATAGTTATTACATTAATCTACATTACTGTTATAACATTCAAAGTAAATTTGTTTACTGAACATGACTGCAAACAAACAAACAAAATTTCATGAATAATCGTATAATCATTTTATAAATATAAACTAATATTCAGAGATGATTGGTTCAACATTATATTCGATTTGACAGTTATTTCTGTCATACTCAATCTTGATCATGGAAGTTAGGAATTTCCCCAATCCTTCTCAGGTTAAATTTATTTATTTACAAATCAACACATATTTTTTTAATGAACAACGAAAATTAATGTAAAATATTTTATAAAATTTATGTATGTGTGCGTGCGTGTGTTTGTGGGCGTGTGTACACAAATATATAATACTTGGATAAGATATCTATAAGTTTTGGGAAATGTTTTTTAACAAAATGCTTAAAAGATTCTCACTGCTTGGATATTATATGTTTTTTAATTCTATCTTATGAAATGTCAATTTTTCCGGATAAATTGAAAGTTAAGGATCTAAAATGAAATAAATTCCTGGTTTAAATTCAAAGGCATCACTTATTTCAAAAAGATTTTATTTTTAAAAACCAATCAAAGATCTTAATGATAAGTAATCAACCATAGATTGATTGGTATATCCTGAGTAGCTTAAATTTTTAAGTCATGAATGTATTTTGTTGGCAATCTTAAATAAACATAAAACAACACATCTTTAAGTCAGTGTATCTTCCTATACTCCTTTATGGAGCTGAAAGCTTAGATACTTAGAGATAAACAGGAAAGCAGAATCACAGTTCCAGAGATGAGGTTTCTCTGAAGAATCGGGGAGATAACAAGAAGAGCTGCATCCGCATTGAGAGGATCAGGATGGAACTGGGAGTTATCTCGGTGAGGGAGATCCTAGAGGCTCGTCAGCTGAATTGTTTGACCATATCATCAGGATGGAAGAACACAGAGATCCACTGAAAACTATGGTTATGCTCCTGACAGTAGAAGGCCTCGAGGTCGACCAAGGATGTCCTACTTGGAAAATAGTAATCATTTGTGCAAAAGGAGAGGAAAATATCTCCATCAAGCCAGGAACCTGGCAAGAAATAGATAATAGAGGTTAAACACTCTCCTACACTGACAGGCATAACAAGATGGGTGATGCAAAAGAAGAAAAACAAGGCAATCTCAAATCACTTAATCCTGCTTAAAAATTGATTGATTCTCATACTAAAAAAATATAATTCTTCTCAAACAACTAATTGCGATCAAATTTGTTGTAAATAAATTGCTCTTTTATCCACTCATATTTTATTGATGTCATCTCAAAACAGACATATTTAGACTTTGAAATCATACAAATTTTATAAAATGTTTATACAGAGCATTTAAGTAATATATACTTTATTGATTGAAGTTCTAATTTTTTTAATGGGCATATATATTTTAAGGTAAATTTCTTTTTTAATGGTTTAAATAATCAGTTCTGTTAAATTTTTTTATGAAATTAGCCAAGAAGGAAGAAACTTATTCTTATAAAACAAAATTATAATTAATTTATATGCCATTTTATTTTTCTTTATGTTCTAAATTAATATGAATGTGAATAAGAGGAAGAAAATTGTTATTATTAGAAAATGAATCATCAACATTACACTGCTTTAAAAGCATTAATAACTCAAAATATCTGCTACTTATTGTATGTATCATATTTTATGCTATTACAAAATGTAATTGCTTAGAAAAAACAAGTTGAGAATTCAGTTGTTGAGCAGATGTTTATTCTTCAAAGGACCGCTTTGAAGTCTCCGTTTTGAAAGCATGTTTGCCGCTCTACAAATTAGCATAGAAATTGATGTAAAATTAATTGGAGAATTCAAAAGAGAAAACAAATTGAAAAATATGATATGGAGGCATTGTTTCTTTTTTTGTTGCTGTAAATTTGTGTTCACTTATGCACTGCTTCAAATTGTAATTGACATAATTTTTCTTTTGATTTAACTTTGTTAAGAGTGTTGTATGGCTGAATTTAAAGTGGATTATGGCACTGAAAGAAAAAAAATTATATTTAAAAAAAATATTATTTTGGTGTGAAAAATTAAATGAGATGCTGAAATAATTAAGAGGTGATTTTTTTTTTAAATTATATTAAATTTAAATTATGACAATTCACAGTTGTAAAATATTAGATTACTGATTTTCAATCATGAAAGTTTTTTGAAAACATTGTTAAAGGTATTTCTAATTTTATATTTTATTTTTATTTTTTCTGGTTTTCACTGATTAAAGAAGCTCCTGAGTATCAATAGATTTATGAACAAACTCTCATAGTCCGTTATCTCATAAAGCTAAAAAAATTTAAGCTGACTTATTAGTCAGTTATTAGCTTAAATCAAGAGTCATAAGCAATATTTAAAATAAAAATTTGATTTTCCAAATTTATAATTTGAAATTATTCAAATTGAAGAATCTACAAAACTATCAACTATACAAAAACCCCAAATCTCTCCAATATATTCATATAAAAAAATGTATATGACCATGTTTATATTTAAGTTCACAAACAAAAACAAACACAAGCACCCATATATAAATATAAATGTTTGTGTATGTATGTATGTATTTATGCAATTTTAATATTATAATTAAAAGTGATCATTATTATAAAATTTCAGGTGATGGAGTTTGCACAGTGTTTGGTGATCCTCATTACCGTACATTTGATGGGAAGTTTTTTAGTTTTCAAGGATCTTGCAAATATCAACTAGCTGCTGATTGTGCAAATCACACGTTTTCAATTAGAGTTACTAATGATGCTAGAGGAACTAGAACATCTTCTTGGACTAAAACAGTCTCAATGAAGGTATGAGATTGTAATAAAGTCAGCTGTTTCAGAATCCTCATCACTTATGATAACTAATATTTCATAAAGTAGTAGTATTCTTTTTCAAGTTTTCTTAATGGTGGAATCGTTGTTTAACATGAATATTTATGTGTTCATTTATTTAGATAAACCAACTAAAATGTTTTTATTGAATGATAATATTACTGACTTAGTATATGAATAAACAAATATCATAATTAAATCCTTTCCAAACAATGTATTTCTAATGAATCTTTTTTTTTTATATGTATATTTATATATTTCAGATGAAAGACATGAAAGTTAATCTTGGTGAGAAAAGAAGAGTAAAAATAAATGGGGAAAGAGTGAAAGTTCCTTATGAATCAACTAGTGTTACTGTCACCAATACGGACGGATGGGTTTTGGTTGAGACTAAACTTGGCATAAAATTATCATGGGATGGTGACAGCTTTTTGGAACTTTCAGTGCCACCAAAATATAAGGTTGAGTCCAAAGAATTCATACAATGCTATTAAATATAACACTTAAAATATGTTCAGTAGTTACAATAAAAAAAACCTTTTGTCTGGTATATTAAGAATTTCATTAATTAAGAAATTCTTAATCAGCATGAATTATAGTTTCATATAAAATATTAATTTATTAACTGGGATTTAGTTATCATAAATAAATATTGTTAAAAATTTGTTCTGAAACAAATATTGACTCAACAATAATTTTTGTTGTTCAGTGTCACATTATATCTAATGTTTCAGAAAACAATTAATCACCTTTTGGTCCTGGTTGATTTTTTTTTTTAGCAGATTTGATAACTTTTTGTGTTATTATTTTATAAGTGCATTTGTCCACCATAATTAGATTGTTCCAAAAAATGAAGAAAAAAAAATTCCCATTTTCATATTTATATATTTCAGGGTCTGTTGTGTGGTCTGTGCGGAAACTTCAATTCTATATCAAGAGATGACATGCAAACCCGAAGAGGACTATATGCTACTGATGCTGATACTCTTGGTGCTTCTTGGAGAGTGGGTGGCAAAAGAGCTTGCTCTCGTGCTCATGAAGCACCTCCAACTTGTGCCAAAACAAGGAGATCTAAAGAAAAAGAGCGCCTTTGCAAGCTTCTTCGATCTAACATATTTGGAGAATGTCGTAACCATTTAAATTCGCTGCCCTATTATAAGTAAGTGTCAATTGGCTAAAATATTTTTTTTTTAAATATGAGCAAATCAGAACAATTTTTACAAGAAGTTAGTTGTTGAAATATTCCTCTTTATGTATTTTCTTAAAGGACAAAAAATCCAATTAAAAACGAAAGTCCATTATAAAATTTAATTAAAGGATCTAGAGAACTGTATATGGTTGAGCTCAATATTAAGAAGAGACTGCTTGTTGGCTTAGGACAGTTTTACCAGTGAAAGCACCCTTCCTATGCTTTATATGACCATTCAATTTGGAATGGCATTTTCACGATAAAAAATATTCAAATCATACAATTTGTTTTCATAGTATAAGGAATAGGTTATTATGTTTTTTTCATTAGCATTCCTTTTTATCATTAGAGGCCACAGTAAGGTTAGGCAGAGATAATGAAAACCGCAATAATTCTTTGTATTTTACCATTGCTATTTTTATTTATCACTGAATACACACACCCATAACACACACATTCAACTTAATTCTATTAATTTCCAATTTTTTGTTTCTTTTGTAAGTAAATATTAATTAATTCTAGCACTAGATTAATAAACATAGCACAAAAATGATTGGAAGCTGCATGTGGCCTCCGTGGCCGTAACTACATCACAGAGGCCACATGCGGTTCTGGTTCTCTGCCTGTGGTATAATTCAATGGTTCCTAGGAATTAATTCAGGTTGAAACCGAAAATTCGTATTCCTAGTTACCACTTACTCTATCTATTAGGTCATCCATTGATAATTTGTTGTTAAATAACAAATGTTTTTTACTCAATATTTTATTTTATTTCGTACTTCCCATTACATATATTTTAAGTTCTATCTTATTTCTTTTAAGTCCTTTTGATTTTAAAAGTTGGTTTATATATTTGAAAACTTTTTGTATCTCATTTCTGCTTGATTCAAACCTTAAGCTATTCTTGGTAGAGAGCTTGGTTTTCATCTCAACTGTTTTAAATCTCAACTTAAAACTGATAATGTGTAATTGCTGAAATAACTGATTCCATTAATAAATATTATTTATACAGTCAATTGCATTTTGCAGGTTTCTAATTAAAATATTTAATATTACAGGTCTTGCATTAAAGATATGTGCGAATGTCCAGCTAAACAACGGTGTTACTGCGAATCTTTCACAGCTTATGCCAGGGAGTGCCACAGGTTAGGAGTTAAGCTTGACTGGCGCAAGCACACTGGCTGCCTAAACCACCATTAGTGTACTTCACCACTATATATATATATATTCAATATATATATACATCTAGTCAACCACCGCCAAAAACCATTGTAAGAAAAATCACAGTACCACAATCTAATACTGAAGTTTTAATTTATATTAAATCTCAATTAAAATAAGTCGCTCAGTAACTTTGTTTTAATTAACTATAGTAAAAATACAGATTTCATTAGGTAAAAGAATATTTTATTATATCTTAAATAACTTTACTCTATTTTAATTATAAAATACCTTTTATTTTTTTAAGAAGTTGGTTGGGAGTGCGGTCAATATATAATAATACTATATATTACAATAGTATATTATTGTGTTTGTCAATGTCTCAACCTACGTTGTAGGTCTTCATCAGGGTATTTCATCTGGCCTAGCCTGAGGACGTTAAGAGACTGATAATTTTCATGTTTGGTTGAATCTTATTGTGAAATAGATATATATTTGTTGACTTTGTTGAAATAGATATTGATGATTTTTTAAAATGTATTATTATATTTTGTTATTAGTGTAAAATTCTTAACTGCTGTAACCCTATACAAATTTTAATGCCTGCCACATGCATTAGAAAATTTTACTACATAAATACAGTCTAGCTTCTACACATTGAACTTCCATATAATGAAAATATCAAATTTTTATATTTTTAAAATATTTTTAAGGATAATTCAAATTATTTGTACACGAATTACCAAAACAACTTTTGTTTTCTAATTTAAATAAGTTGCATTAATCAGAATTGGAAAGAGCACCAAGTTTGAAATTCTACATGAACCTGAACACTTAATTTATAAAATTCATGTTATATCAATAATTGGTGCCTTTACCCTACATCTTCTTCTTAGTCAAGCCCCTATTTACCGCTGTTGCAGTGTTGGTGTTCCCTTACTGAACCTGGAGTATGGATCTCTCTCTCACCAATTCTCTACTCTTTCTCCAATCCATTTCTCTGCTTGCAAATGCTTTTTTTATTCCTTCCTCTCATCTTCCCCATAACCTTCCTCTTGGTCAACAACCATCCATCTGTGCCTCATAGATTGCTTTAGCTATTATATCCCCCCCCCCCCATCCTAATGACATTTCCATCAATCACTGCTCGCACATGTTTTATTACATTGATGATTGACCTTATTGTGGTATTTCTGATTTGGTCTTGTCTTGTTTTACCTTTAAACCTCTGAAGGAATCTTATGACAGAACTCTGAAGTAGACTCTTTGTCATGAGTATCCAAGATTCACTGAAATATGTCAATATCAGGTGTTTTTATATATAGCCACCTTTGTTCCTGTTGATACCTCTCTCCTGTTAATGTACCCCTTTTAACAGCACTAAAAAACTTTCCAGCCGAAACTAATCTTTCCCTGATCTTTAAGTCCATTTCCTGTTAGTTGTGTTCATAGTAATAATAATAATAATAATACTTTATTTATTCTGGGAATAATACATAAATACATAAATATGGGCTAAGGAGCCTCAGAGATACACAAATAAAGATACAGAGTAATTAAACAGTCATAGTAATAAAATTAAAAATTATAAGTTACTTTCTAATTTTAATTAGTTAATAATTAGAATTAAAAAAATTATATAAAAAGGATGAAGTAAAAATAATGAAGAACGAGCTAATAATTTATATACATATTTACATTAGTATCTATTTACAATTTCATGGAGACTGGATTGATAAGAAATGATTGGACAGACGGGATTTAAAGGTAGGAACGGTATTAGATTGTCGAATGTGAAAAGGGATGGAGTTCCAAAGGGATGAGGATCGGATAATGAAAGATCTGTCGAAAGCAGCGGTTCGGTGGGCCCTTATATATAAGTCAGAAGACCATGAACGAGTATTACGGGAACGAACGGAGGATTTGAATTGAAGGAGCTCGGAGATGTATGAAGGACGGTGGGATTGGATGACTTTAAAGAGGAAGGATGCCAGGAAATATTTGCGACGGTAGGAAGGATAAAGCCACTTCAACTCTGCATAAAAAGGGAAACAGAGGCGTCCCTTGGTATCCCGAAGATAAATCTTACAAAGCAATTTATTAAACGTTTTAGTTTCGCCTCGAGATCCCCAGAGATGCCCCCATATACCGTACAGCAATAGTCAAAGTGGGGGAAAATCAAAGAAGTGACTAGGAGCCTACGGGTTTCAAATGGAAATAGGTGACGAGAATAATTTAGACGTTTTAGAGTGGAAATGGTAAGGCGGGAAATATTGGATACATGGTTTTTCCAGGAAAGTGTTTGTGTTCATACATATTTAAAACTATCCATCTTTTTTATTATTTTTCCATTTATGTGGACTGTATGTAAATTGTGATCCTGAAGCTTTCCTAACCTCATTACCTGTGTTTTTCCCCTTTTTCTTGCATGTTTTTTGGTGTAAGTTTGTCTTTTATGATCAATATGTTATAAAAAAATCCCTACCATCTTTCCCGAAAACCACGAGGTTAAGCCATCAACACATAACTCACTGGATTTAGATTTCAGTAACTAAGGTGAAAACCTCTCATTTTAGGTTTGGCTTTCTTCAGCAATCTGTTTAGAACAATAAATAGAAGAGGGCTGAGACAAGAGCCCTGCCGTATACCACTGACTATTTTGAATTCCGTAGTCCCAATTCCATTCCCAGCTCCTCTATGACCTTAGGTAAAGCTTTCTTTCACACATAGATCCTTTTGAAAATTCTTACTATTACACATGAAAAGTTGCACATCCATTCTACTTTTCAAAAGTGAAAGGGTATTTTATAATTGTTTGATTTTTAATGGCCCTATCAACCTCTGGCTTTATCAATCTTCAAATACTCATTATTATCCACTGTCTTCCATTATATGGTCATAGTTCTATACAATAATCCGACCCTCAATCATTCAACTGTGAATTAGTACTTTACTTTTGCCATTATTTTTTGTTTTCAAATATTAAACGAACTTTTATTTAAAGTGGAATTAAATATTTGTAAAATATTCATTTGTAACTCATGTAGCGTCTATATCCATTTATTTAAAGAAATTAAAAAAAGATTCAATACACCATTTATTTGATTTTCTTTTCAGATTGAACTAAGAAGGCGGATGGTCAATGTATTAATTCTCAGCTTCTCTTTCTATATCCGTTTTATTATATAGTCCTGTTATACTACAAAATAAAAATAAACAAGCCTGGCTTAGAGCATCAATCAAAAACTAGTTTTCTAAGCTTCATCTTATCAGTTTGTAAATAGATCATCAATTGTAGACGAAACCTATGTTAATTAGTTTATATTACTGGTTGTAAAGTATTATTTTATGTATGTTTTTAATTGTATGGATTTTAATAAACAAATGTTCTATATTTTTATAATTGTGTCTATATATTAGAATGATTTATTATTATTATTATTGCTATTATTATTTATAGTAAAAATAGGCTAACAACTTTATGTTAAATTTGCCAAAGAACTTTTTATTCCCTATTATATCTCTCTTATTCTGTCTATTTATACTTTATATATGTTTATCATTCATCAAGAAGTACGATTTACTAATATTCCAAGGGTTTCTGGTTTAAGCTTTGTTCTCCTAGCTACAGGTTTTTCTATTGTATGAGACAGGTTACTCCAAATAGTAACAGGCTGTACAATGTAAGATTTAAATAATTACAGAAAAATTACTTAAAACATATAAACTGAATGATCACAGTTAATTTTGAAATTGTGGTAGGCTTTAACTTTATTACTTACATACTCAACCATTGTGACAACTTGACATGAATCAGGGCCTCCTGCAGTTAAAATAACAATTCATCTATATTCCTTGCAACTGCCCTTCAGTTTCTGTGGTGAAGGATTTTTTTTTTGCATCTTTGTTCGCACAATATAGCCGTCTTAACTTCAGTCTTCCAGCCCTTCTTGCTTTACATCAAAGTTGCTTTTCACATTGCAACTTTCATAGAATCTTTTCTGGATCCAATCTCCTAATATGTCAGGCCATAAAAAGTCTTGCATCCTCATTGTTATAATGAAGCATGATTTCTCTATTGTTTCATTGCCTCCAGATGTAATCAGTGCACGTTGGTCCCCGAAGGACTCTTCTCAGATTTTGTAGCTCTAATCTCGATATCAACTTATCAAAATACATGTTTCTACCAGTCTAATCAGTGTTTTTTATAGACGAAATTGGGTAGCTCAAGATAATGTTTTTCTTCTAGGTGTTTATATAAACCGAAATAGGACTCAATAACTGCCTAGTTCCTAGTACTCAGCTTAGTATTAATTTCATGTCGCATGATATGTTGTTTTAGTTCTTGTGAGAACCAAGATATATATATATATATATATATATATATATATATATATATATATATATATATATATATATATATATATAATGCTTTTACCTTGGGTATTAATAAGGAATGACATTTAACCAGATGTCATATACCTCAATAAAACCAACTTCCAGCATGCTGAAAAATGTCTGGCTCTTATCTGTCTCAAGAGATGGTCAATAGGTTGAGGATTTTTTTTTTTATTTCATTATTATTGCATTTTCTTACCAAGTACTGAACCCAAGACCTTTTTTTTTATTATTGTTGAATTAATGAATCACAAATATTAATTTTTTTTATAGATACAATTGAAAATCCACATGTTTAAAACTGTGATGTTTTCACTGGCAAAAATTTTAAATTAAAACTAATGAAATATCTTAAATATATAACTAACTGAATATCTCTTCATTTTTTTTAACAAAAAAATCACATCTCTTGAAAAACCATACTTCTTACTCCAATGTTTGTAATCCTGTCCGTCATCTCTCCTATCATATTGAAGAAACCTGTAGCTAGGAAAATTACCTTTACCAAATGTCATACCAAAAAAAAAAACTTTTTAGATAAATAGATAAAGATTTAAAGAAATATTATTCAATAAAAGAACAAATTAGGTTATTTCTGTTGAACATCATAGAATCAAATTTTATTTATCTTACCTGCATTA